TTAAATCAAAAAACGACTTTACTAAAAGTCCCTGCTCGGGCGCCAAATTGTAAAGCAACAATAGTTTCTGTTGCTGCTGCAAAACCGACAACGAGTTTACAACTTTACCTATGTATTTAATAACGACGGTGCGGCGATGCGCTAATTGAAAAGAGATGCGATGCTGGCTGTGGTCTACGAATGAATAACAAGTACTAATTTATTTAAATTCAAGATAGCCTTAATACTAAGAACAGTGTTGCTTACTGACTATTAATTACGCTGAGTGTTTTGTACTAAATACAGTACGACTAATTAGTGACAATTCAATGCTGGCCAAACATTCTGGGCCCGTTGATGCGTATGTATCAATAACATTTGATTTAAATTTTGTGGGTGCCTATGCATCCAAATAAGAAAAAAAGGTATATTATAAAATTGATTTTGTATGCTTCTTGCATGTTAGCTCATTACAGGAATCTAAGTTCAAACCTTATGGGTTTTTATTTTTAACAATAAATATTAAAAATTTGAAATACATATATTGTAATGAAATTCATTTTTGGTATTAATTCTCTTTGTTTTTTTTTTTTTAATAATTAGTTTAATGGTAATGGTGCCAACTTATGAACAGCACGCTTGATGACACCATTGCGTGTTTTTATGTGGGCAACACGGACCATACCATCTTTGCCAGCAACGACACTCGTAACCTTGCCCATAAGCCATCTTTGGGGTGGCATGTTGTCCTCGTGGACGAGTACCACTGTGCCAATCTCTATATTGATTTCGGGTTTTACCCATTTGGCCCTGGCCTGAAGTTCTAAAATGTAATCTCTGCGGAATGCAGACCAGAACTGCCCTTTCAGGTAAGCGATACGTTGCCATCTTTTTGAATAAGTCATGTTTTCCGTTTCTACGGGGAATGGCTTTTAGAGAACACCCAATCAGCAGGTGTGCGGGTGTGAGTGCTTCTCCATCGCTGGGATCTGTGGACATTGGTGCGATAGGCCTTGAATTCAGGACTGCCTCTACCTCGACGAGAACGGTACATAGTTCTTCGAATGTCAGATTGGCGTTTGCGACGGTGCGATAGAGCAAATTTTTTGTTGACTTTACGGCCGCCTCCCACAGACCGCCGAAATGAGGTGCGCGAGGCGGAATGAATTCGAATTGGACTCCTTTCTCTGCCACGAAATCTAACATCTGCTTTCTGCTGACCTCGTTGAAAAATACGTCGTGAAGTTCCTTCATCTTGGCATTGGCTCCCACGAAATTTGTTGCGTTGTCGCAGACGACCTTGTGCGGCAAGCCTCTCCTTCCGATAAACCTTTTAAAACAAGAAATAAATGAGTTAGTGGTTAAGTCGGAAACAGCTTCGATATGAACAGCTTTGGACGAAAAACAAACAAATACAGCTATATATGTTTTATAAGGGGGTCGACCACGAATTCTATATGACGTGTATATTGGACCGCAAAAGTCAACACCAGTTACCCAGAACGGTCTAACTGACAATAAACGATCCACCGGTAAATTTCCCATGACTTGTGTCAACAACTTGGGTTTGTATTTAAAACAGTGTGTGCAATTGCGTACTACTTTTCTCGCAATTTCTCGAGCATTCACTGACCAAATTTTTAGTCGCATCAGCGCGATGAGCGCCCTTGGGCCTGCGTGGCAGTTTGTTAAATGCAAGTGAGTAGCGTACAAGTATGCAAATCGACATTTCGGAATGAGGAGTGGGTGTTTCGTATCATATGACAATGAAGAGTTTTGTAAACGGCCACCTACTCGGAGTAATGTAAAATTTCTATTGCCTTCGTTACAATCTTGGACGAACGGATTGAGTTTTTGAATCTGCTTATTTACCGACGACGAATTTTTTAGGCATTTAATTTCATTTTCGAACTCTTCATGTTGTATTACTTCGACAATTTTTAAGAACGACATTTCAAGTTCTTTGGCGGTAATTTGAGGCTCTTTTTCTGTTGGACTGAGAAATCTATATACATAGGCAAGTATTCTTACAATTTTTAAGTAAGTCGAACAATTTTCTATTAGGGTGTTTATGATACAAGACTTTTTCGATGATAAAAGTACTAAAGGCTTGGCTTTTCTAATTTCCAGGTTCTCCATATCCTCCGGCGGTTTGAAATGCGGGTTATTTGGCCAATTATCTTCGCCTTGCGTTAAAAATCTGGGCCCGTTAAACCATATTGATTGACGCATTTCATCCACAGTGCAACTTCTGGAGGCAATATCGGCTGGGTTATGAGCGGTTGGTACATGTTTCCAAATTACATTTTCTGTCCATTCCTGAACGTCCGCTACTCTATTCCCAACGAAAACTGATAATGTGGATGGATGTTTTTTCAGCCAATATAACACTATTTCCGAGTCAGTCCAAAATACAGTTTTCTCGGTATTTGGGAGTAATATTGGCGCTATATTTTTCCACAACTTCGCCAGTAAGTGCACAGCGCATAACTCAAGCCTCGGTAGGGTTTTCGTTTTTAGTGGAGCGACCTTCGACTTGGCTGTAAGAAGTATAGATTTATAATTATTTTTGTAACCGCTACGAATATAAATACAACAACCATAAGCGCGCATGGATGCATCTGCGAAACCATGTACTTGTATTTTCGACGACGACAAAATGTTAACAAAACGAGGAATGCGTATTTCGGGAATTCGTTTAATATTTTCTTTAAAATTATCCCAGCTTGTAGCCAGCGACATCGGAATTGATTCGTCCCATTCCAATTTGTGAAGCCATAGCTCCTGCAAAATCATTTTTGCTTTTGTTATGATTGGACATAGCAGTCCTAATGGGTCGAAAAGTCGAGATGACACTGACAATATGTTGCGCTTAGTGGGTTGTAAATTATTAAAATCGTTACTACAGCTTTGTTTCAGTATCGTTCAGAGATATTGTTTTTTCCGAAATGCTATTACTTTCTAGGAAATCATGGTTCGAATACCATTTTGCTAGCTTGAATCCAGCTGAGGCAAGAATTTTTACTACTTCAGTTTGTATAATTTCCTCTAAGGTTTCGCCACCTGACAATAAATCATCTACATAAAAATCTTCTTGGATCACCCTAGAACCAACAGGCATATTAAGTCGATTTATTTGTCCCAACTCGTCCAGACATCTTATAGCCAAGAATGGTGCTGGAGATGTACCATATGTGACTGTATTGAGCTCGTAAACCTTTATTGGCATATTCACTGTTTCTCGCCACAAAATCATTTGGAACTTTCTATCTTCTTCATGCACTTCCACTTGCCTGTACATTTTTGTAATGTCAGCCGTAATGCAAATTTTCGACAACGAAACTTTAGCAGCGTAATATATAATTCTGGTTGGATAGTGGGGCCGACCATCAACATTTCGTTAAGAGATTTATGTGTGGAGGTTTTTGCTGACGCATCAAAAACGACTCTTAACTTTGTGGTTAAGCTGTCTAATCTCATCACGACTTGATGAGGTATAAAATAGTGTGGGCTAGATGGGACAATGTTCTTGACTTCCGTCATATGCCCTAGAGACAAATACTCCAACATAAACTCATCGTACATTTTTTTTGTATCAGGGGTCTTTGCAAGTCTACGTTCAAGAGATAGGTATCTTCGTTTTGCTACGTCATAGGATGATCCAAGCTCCGACGGATCTCTCTTGAATGGTAGACGAACTTGGAAACGACCCTTTGGCAGCAATTGCGTATTTTCCACAAAATGGTTTTCGCAATCAGTAAACTCCTTACAGGTATTCCTTTCAACCCCTGGGCTTTCTTCAATTTCCCAAAATTTTCTCACAGTCTCATCCAAAGATAACAATGATGCGTCGGTAATTTCATTTGCTATATTGCACGCTCCGGTTTCAATGCCGTTGCCTTGCTTGTACCGACCAGAAACTATCCAACCAAGAAGAGTTTTTTGCAATGTGGGTAATGACTCCTTTAATTTTATTTGGCCCACAGATAATAATTCGAAAAATATGTCGGCCCCAATGAGCAGATCGACTCTTTGTCGTTTATTAAACTGAGGATCTGCAAGCTCAATATTTTTTGGGACCTGCCAAGTGCTAAATTGAATGTTAACTTCGGGTTGGTAACTAGAAATGGATTTAATTACCCAAAAATCTGCCTGGAAATTATAATTATTTAGTCTGGATTTAACTGTGGTATTTACTTGGTGCCTCAAATTAGTGTTAAGTTCCCCAATGCCAGATAACTTGAGATTTTTAAATTCTCTCTTTAGCTGCAGATTAGCTGCACATTCTTCACTTATGAAGTTCAATTGCGAGCCAGAGTCTAAAAGAGCTCTTACCAAATGGTCATTTCCGCTGCGATCTTTAATTTTTACTAAGGCAGTGGCTAAAACTACAATGTCTGTGTTGCTCGATACGTGGTGTGACGAGCGATGGTTCGCTGAAGTAGTAGTAGGTGAGGTGGAAGATGGTTGCTCTGTGCTATTACTATTGAATGCACTCGAATTGCCTTGCTGAGTGTTCACTTCATACCTATGCAACAGGGTGTGATGGGGACGTTGGCAAACTCTGCAGTGCGATTTTGAGCAACTTCGTACCGAATGACCCGTTTTCAGACAATTTATGCAACTTCCTTCTTTTTTAATAAATTCGAACCGTTTGGTAATTGGCAGGGCAGCGAAGGAATTGCAAGTATACACTGAATGACCGTTGGTATGGCAAAATGTGCATTTACCCTCATTATTGCTTCTCGTTACTCTATACGAAGCCTTATTGTTGTTGTTGCTAAAACTGGCTTTACTATTTTTCTTTTTTCCAAATAAATTTTTATTGGAATGATCTTCATTCACTTCTAGGGCTTGACAACGACGAATTAAATGTTTGGAGCATTCGCTCCATGTAGGAAGTGTTGAGTAATCTAACTGCTCATTCCATTTTGACTTGGTAACCGAATCGACCTTTGAAATCACCAAGCTAATTATAAGGGCGTTAGCTATATCTTTTTCTGAGCCCATGGACAACAACGAATCGTAAATTGCTGACACAGTGTCGACTGCGTTTCTCAGAGCTGGCGCATTGGGTTTGTTAATTTTTTCAATTTCAAATAATTGTTCTATATTATCAAAAAATATTAACCCCTTTTTGTCATATCGGTCAGCTAATCGCTCTAAAGCCTTTTCATAATTGGCTTCTGTAACTTGAAATGCTTTAATAGTTCTAAGTGCATCACCCGACAAACTAAGCAAATGATTGAATTTTTCTATTGGAGCTAGATGTGCCTCATTGTGAACTAAATTGTTAAATGAGCTTATAAAATTTTTGTACTCCGAATATTTTCCGCTAAATGACGGCAATTTTAATTTTGGTAGATCTCGCCTTGAGTCATGGTGATACCGAACGTCGTTTCCAAAGCTGAGCTCTCGCGTCGCTTATGCTGCCCCAAAAGCTGCAAGAGTTTTGTTTTTGCACTAATGCACGACTCTTCAATGTCACCCCTCCTATCATCACTAGGGTCCTCTTTCTCAATCTCCGTTTGATAAGCCATTATTTGCTTTATATATGAGCTTAAAATTTCTAGCCTGCATTCTAAATCTATAACGTTCCACGTAGTGGAGGTATTGTCCAACAAGTTTTTTATTCTTGTTATATTTTTGCGAGCAGTTGAGCGTTGCTGCTTTAGTGTAGCTAACTTTGCCGCTGAGTCATCCTCATCGCCTGAAACTATTTTGACAGATCTACTTTAAAACAAAAATGCTCAACGAACCCTTATATTTATTTAACAACAAATGATTTAAATTAAGGTAGCAAATTTATTTATATGGGAAAGCCAACGCACCCTGATATTCAGAAAGCTAAATGTCCAAATATTTGCTTTAACTTTGTATACGCATATAATTTTCTTCAAATTTTCTTGTTGTCTTCTACAACGTTCAAATCTAAACCATTCTCTGATTTACTTGTATGCCCTCATAAATTTAATGTTGGGTACATTAAATTTCGATTCAAAGAAACGACAAGGTCAATAACCATACAACTCAATAAATTTTTTATGTACTTGGGTTTTATGCATTTGAAGGTGAAGAGAAACAGTAAAATTACATGCCTACTATGTTAGCAATGCACTGTCTTTTTTTTGAAATTGAAAGCGAAGGTGGGGAATGGCAAATATGAAGGCAAGTGCACTAACTATTGTCTTCAGACAATAATGTATGTATATGGATCAATCACTTTGGTGGAGTGCAGCAGCAGTAACTACAGCTTCATGCACTTGTGTATTTTGCTATGTACCTATACAATGCGGGAGCAGCAGAGAAATGAACGACGACAAAGTTCTGCTCACGTAGGTAGGTATATGCAAAACCAAAGTTCAATTGCCTAATATTTACATACGTACATATATATGTGGGTAGGTATGGATGAAATAATTTTGTGTCCCGTAAGAAAATTTTTAATGGGTAACTAAATGAACAAATTATG